CTTTCGCTTTGAAAAGAACTCAGCCTATGTTTTCCTGGTAGCAAAAGACGATTTACATTATATTCCTAAAATACACACAGTGGTATTAGGAACAGATACACTTCTCTAACAGATACTCATTAAGCACCTCCCCTCAAAACATATTCTCCTGATACTAAAAGTTTTAAGTGAAAATATGGCGAGGGAACCTTTTTTTTAAGAAGACCTGTTTACAGATTATGTTCTCCTAGTAGACAGATACAGTTTTTAACATTTTACTAACATATATTCAGTAAATTAGGAGCAGATACAGCTTATTATGGATTAAACTCTGTTTATACAAACGTTTAAACGAAAAGGATATACCGAATCAGTCTTTTTGTTCATAGAAAATGGTCTCATCATGGATTATGTTCTCCTAGTAACTAGAAAAAAATGTACTACATTATTTACTCGGAGTAGGAATACCTTTTAGATCTACCTATTCGCCTGGTATAACAAAAATAGATATTTTCTTGGGCACAGAAATTTACCTCCTCATCGATTACGTTTTTCTGATAGTCAATAAAATTATAAAAAGTTCTTTCTACAGATCACTCGGTGGATTAGAAGCAGAAACATCTCCTGCGCAACATACTCCCCTGATACAAATGTTGCAACACTACTCGGTAGCAGGTACTTGGGGAATTAGGGACAGAAACATATTGTAGAGCATTTTATGTTCCTTTAAAAAAAATTGTTCTCCGGAAGATTTACAACACTTTTGTAACAGATACCTTTCAAATTAGAGGCATTAACGCCTTCTCACACATATTCTCCTGACATGAAAGGTAGTGTGTTTTTCGCGATGGTAAAAAGAGACGTCCTCAAACATTATGTTCTCCTGGTATAATATAAGATTTGCAATATTTTTGTAACAGATACCTCTAGAATTAGGGACAGAAGCACCTTCTCGCACATTACATTCTCCTGGGACGAAAGGTAGTGGGTTGAAACACGTGACGTGCGCGTAGAAAGAGACGCCCTCAAGGAATATGTTCTCCTGGTAGAAGTATAAGATTCGCAATATTTTTGTAACAGATACCTCTAGAATTGGGGACAGATACACCTCCTCCCACATTATATTCTCTTGGAACAGAAGGTAGTGTGGTCGAACATTTTCCGTGAGCGTAGGAAGAGACATCCTCATGGATTATGCTCTCTTGGTACCTAGAAGAGATGTACAACATTCCTCGGACTATTCAGATTCCTTAGTTTCATATTCTTCGATTTCCTGGGGTCTGCCCGGATATTGAGTTCACATCGAACCCTTCATAAGATGTACCATACGATTGGCATTTTGGCGCATTTTTTAAGAATTAAAAAAATGTGCTATTGTTTGCGTGGTGTCCGTCCGTCCGTCCGTTCGGACCGTTTCGAACTACTTCTAGGGGAATGGTCCTAGAGTCCTTGAATTTTTTGCAGTAGGTAGCCTATACCTTGAAGGTGTGCCAGCCGGCCATCAAATTTCGCTGTCTAAAAGGCCCCCCCCCCCCTACGAATTATTTCCTGAGATGCTGTTTTCGAAAGTAACACGTGCATAACTTTTACATACGATAACCAATTGGTCTCAGATTTTGCATACGCATGCCTGTAGTGGTGCCAAGCTAAACTTTAGAAAATGGGAAGGGGGGGGAGTAAATACATGTTCTACCCTTCATGGTATTCTAATGAAATGTCTCATCGAAAGAAATTGGTTTGTACAAACTATAACTTTCTCGTGCGACTCTCTTTCGCGATCAGTGAGCGACAGGGACAGAGGGGGGGGGGGGGGGTTAAAAATTAGTTTTATCTCTCATTGTATTCTAATTAATTAAAGGTTTCAGCAAAAGGAACCGTTTTCTACCAACTACTGCCCTTCTTTCTGTCACCTTATCAAAGTACGGGGTTTAGGGGGGGGGGGAGTGGAACTACTTTTTATCCTTCACGGTACTCTAATGAAAGGTCTCAACGAAAGGAATTAATTTTTACCAACCATAGCCCTCCTCCTCGACCTCTTATTGTGATCGGGTATATTCCCTTATACCTCAAGAACGGATTGTCGGAAGAGGGTACTCATAAAGGGCGATTGAGACGTCTGCAATAAATATATCCATTGGTGTTGTCAAAACAACAGCTATTTCGTTAAAAAAATGAGTTGTGCACAATTTATACTTGTTTTTAGATAAATTGGATTCATTAGAAGTTTGATACACTTTCAAATCTCTTCCCATTTTTAGGATTGCTCAGATATTCAATTTTTATAAGATTCTTGAAATTATTACATAAGATTCTTCATATTATTTTGAAGATTCCTCGGGATTCTTCCAATATATCCTGCTGTTTTTACATCTTAAGATCGATTTGGTATTTTATATTCTTCACTTCTACAAATTCATCTGATTTTTGAGGTTCTGTGGCCCTGGGGGAACTAGAGTAAACGGGGTATCCCCCAATCTGGCCAAAACTATCTTCAAAATAGAATAGCAACCAATCCAGAGGGCAAAGAGCACAAGTTTATTTCAATCTATGGGGTTCCACAGGGCTCCGTTCTTGGTCCCGTGTTATGGAACTTCGCATACGACGGCGGTCTCAGGGTCATGGTGTCGGAAGGTCCAATTTTCTGATGACCTAACTAAAATTGGAAGAACACAGCTGCCAGCCTCTTAGAAAAGGGGGTTAGTGGGTGCAAGTTCCACAATACCCGCACAGTAGACCCATGTGGGGGTGTGCCCAGGCATTCGCAGTTCTTTCATTAATGAAAAAGAGACTATTTCGAATCACGGTTTGCTTCCGTTTCTTCGGATTCTTCTGACTGGCCCAATTGCCCTTCTTGGAGTGGTATAAGGCGAACTTAGGTACTAGCTCTCTCGCCTAACCTCCCGTTTAAACCACTTGTGTTTTTATTTGCTCCCGTTTCAGCGTTCTTTCATAGAACGTTTGACAAGCAACTTGTGAACAAAACGCTGCATATGGAACAAGGTACGTCCAGACATCGAGAACACGGGGCGTTATTTAAAGAGCATTTATTAACAAATGCATTAAGTTATAACATGCAGTTGTCTACCAGCCGGCACGATATGCCCCCGCGTATCCCAATGGGAGCGCTCGGGCGTATCCGAAGTGGGATCCGTACCCAAACCCGTGTCCGAAGTAGTTAGAGCGAACGACAGGTGCGGCGACCACGGAGTGTACAGCGGGAGCGACCAGGGAGGTTCTTGCGATTGGGGCCGTATACAACTCGGTCCTGTGGACCGAAGCAACTGCGGGCGCCAAATGGTCCACTCGAGCAATTGTCGGTGCTGCGAATCCGTATGCTACTGGTGCTGCGTACCGCAGTCCACCTCCCAGATATCCAGCGTGGACAGTGGCAATTGCGCAAACGAAGAAAACCTACAAGCACCCTACAGTGGTTGTTGCAAGATAAAAATTGCTTACCTTGAAGAACATTTCTGTTGCTTTTCGGAAGATGACTGATACCCAATTGGAATCTGTCTTGGTTTATATACTCAAGAGACTCCCGAAACATGAATTGATTTTCCTGTTTTATCCAATTAACTTGATTGATCGAACTTAAACAGTTAGAAGTTAATGACACTTGGAAGGTCAATGGAAGAATGTCAATCATATCCTCATTAAAAGTAGACGGCGATTGCCATCTACTAAATTGGTTTTTAAAATCACTAAAAATAGAAAATGGGAACTAGCTACAAACGACGTGACTCGAAGAACATCTTCAGATTTCCTTTCTGATCACACACCATGAAGCGATCTCAATTTGTTATACGGAATGTCTTTATGCTCTTTGGATGCAAAGGACAAGTTGGGACCAAGGTTTTTTTAATATATTTCTCCTACGGAACCTTTATATAGCCCTATTTGGGGAAGGTGAATCCTTAAATAATGTCAGTAAAGGCTACAAAAGATCTCTGGATTTCGAAGAGGTTCATTTTTTTGAAGAAAAGGCCAAAGATTAGATCACCCCCAAAATTACCGGCAGCTGTCCTTATCATTTGTTCGATAACTTCTTTTCTTGCTTGACATCATCTCCCCTTTAACCAGGTAGTCGAAATTGCCCCCTTCGTTGTTCTCCTCCAACTTTATTTATAGCTCCAGGAATCTATTTTTAAAGTTGCCAACTGCCGAGTTTTCATGTCCTTCCCGACGTAAAAGCGAAGTTCCACCTCTTATCCCATAAGAGATTGTGACATCCTTAAATTCATACAAATTGGGGGATCCTCGGGATCCGGATCCTCAGATGTTTGGGCGCTGAAGGCAATACATACTACTATTTGATAGCCAATTCCCTTTTCCTTCTTGAGGTTCGCAATTCGGTGAATACAAACTTGTACGTCGAACAAGAAATAGTATGGAACGTAAAACGTGTATGGAACTTGGACCCTAAAAGAAATCAAAGGTAACCCATTTTCTTTGATGGCATAAGATTTATCTATCTCTTATATAAAAGTAGATGAAGCAGTAATTGTCGATGGAAATGACAGTAGAACAAATTATAGCCGTACACGATCAATAAACGAAACGCAACATGGCGGTACTTACGATGAAAGAAAAGAACGCATACGATAACCTCCACTGAGAGCACACGTGAACTTCGTCTAAACTAATTACTTCGGAAATTCCCAAATTATGAGTCCAATCGTCAGGAGATCAATATAATCGGAAGATGGCAATTAGAATTCCATGCGTTCTACCTTACGCTTTCAGCTGTTTTTTTTATTCCACGTGTGATTCGACGCTGCAAAACAAGGGCCGACCGCCGGAAAAATCGTATTTGGAAATTAACCACACAACTAGCTGTCACGTACGCTACAGAAAATGACCAGAAACCAGAACCAACATCATCGCGTTCCTTATCTTCTATTTACCTTACCTATTACTTAGCCTACTATTTTTCTAGCACGGTATAAGATAATATCGAAAGGCTTTTTAAGGTTTTAAAATTTGCTAGGAAAAGTGTCAGGCTTATGATGCAACCGGTTTCAATTCTACGTGTCATAATTACTTGAGTTAAACCGAGGTAATTTTCGCGTTTACAATCACTCTTTGTGCAAATAAAATAATTGGATCAGTCTCGAGCGATAGGCCAAGTACTTACTGACAAAAAAACAATGGACGATTTGAAACCGTAACCCGCCGAGTGCTGTAAAAAAATCAAGGGGTTGACGTTTACCAATTTATTTGCAATTTAGTGCTTTTGCTCGACACAGAGAGAGGTTTGTAATACAGTGCATAAATAGACACATTTACGTTTGAAAGGTTTGTAAATGACCCTCGGTCAGCTTTTGATTAAAATTACTTTTTGACATCAATATTACGCGTATTTTGTTTTGCTGGTGATGGACATGTTTCGGTTACAGAATCGGATGTCGTAATATGTACCTATAAATACATTTGAAAAACAAATATTGCTCTTTCCAGAATTATTAAATTTGCATTCGTCAAATATAATACCATTTAATGACGAACGGGAGAACGCAAAACTAATATGTGGATGATTAATTTGTCGCAATTGCTGTATTCGTAGTTATTCCTATTGCAAATGCCAGACGCAGTCCAAGTCCTTCAAGTATTCCAACGATTGTAAGAATCGCAAAGGTTTTCCATATTTTGTAACGTAGCTCTAATATTCGAATTTTTTTGGAAAGTTATTTTCGAGATTATTTAGGGGTGCGCAGTGTTGTATGTTTTTTTAGCAGAGGATGAGTGAAGTAGGCGTGGTAATTTCAAAATTTGAATAAATTTAGATTTGGATAGAAGCTGTAGTTACCATTTTAAGGTTAGAAATAACATTTTTATTCTGTGTATTTCAATTCTATGCAGTGTTCTCATAATGGGTTCCAGAAGTCTGGCGGCATAAACTCGGAGTGGTTTTATCTGCAGCGTAAGGATTGGGTCATTCCATTGTGACAAATGAAACGTGGCATATTTTAACATACGTAGGATGTTTTGTTTAGTTCGTAGAAGTGAAATAACGAATCAGTCATTAAAGATGGTCGTTCTCGTTAATAAGAAGCCATTTTGTAGGAGTTAATTATGTAAAAAGAATAGGGAGTTTCTTGTCGATTGATTCGGTCTTGGCGTAGAGCTCGCAACAGCGGAAAGTTCCAATATACGCCTCCTTGTTTAATCTTTTCCAATCGTTGCCATTGTAAGTCTTCAGCCTATTTTTATATGAAGATCGTCATCTTTAGAAGGACATTTCTTGAGGTACCGTTACTTTATTAACGAGCTCCTAGCGAGTTTATAAGTTTGTTGTGTCCGTCCGTCCGTCCGTCCGTCCGTCCGTCCGTCCGTTAGCACGATAACTCATAAACGAATGGACCGATTACGATGAAATTTTGCAGGTGGATTCTTTATCAAATTTGTAGATTGGAGTTCGTGAATTGGCAATGTAGCCCAAAAAATAAAGTAGGCCCTTTTGACATCTCCGTTAGTTATGAACCGAATTGCATGAAATTCAATATGCGCATAGGTTTAGCCACATAAAACACAATTCCAAAAGTTGAACCTAATCGATCAGCATTCACAGTGCCCTTTGCTCATCTCGACCATTTACAGACCGAATTGCAAACTTTCTTATTTATGAAGGTATTTAAATGAAATTTGATACATAGCCACTTGGAATAAAAGTAAATTTAACGCCAGTTTCAAAATTTCGTTTTGCGCACGCGCAGTGCCAACTTTCTTATTTATGGAGGGATTTAAATAAAATTTGATACATAGCCACTTGGAATAAAAGTAAATTTAACGCCAGTTTCAAAATTTGGTTTTGCGCATGCGCAGTGACAACTTTCTGATTTATAGAGGGATTTAAATGAAATTTAGTACCTACATAACTACTTGGAATAAAAGAAAATTTAACATCAGTTTCAAAATTTGGTTTTGCGCATGCTAGTTAATCACGTGTAAAAGAATAGGTTGTGCATGCGCACCAGTGCTAACTTTCTTATTTGTGGAGGCATTCAAATGAAATTTCATACATATACACTTTAAATAAAAGCAAAACTAACAACAGGTTTAAAATTTGGTTTTGCACATGCTATAGCCATACCCAGGAGCTCGTTTGCTATATTTGTTTAATTTATTTATGTAAAAATATTGAAATGCAATTAGCTGTGCACTTTTTTTATTATATATATAGTTCTGTCACGTTTTTCCATTGCTATTTTACTTAATTAAATGTTTTTTTTCCGACGGTTTTACACAATTCGGAATTTATTAGGCTTCAGAAGTTAATTGGGCCCTTTCAAGTTTGACCTTTTTTCCCTATTAGTTTTTCGACTAATGATAATTTAATTTCCATGTAACTTGATAGATGCCTGTAAATTTTAAAAATCATTCCATTTCACCTTTTATTATCAGCCTGAAGATGACATTCTTAATAGTATATCGAAACATGTAGCTTTATTTTAAGCCGTATAACCAATTTTAAAATTTCAACTTTATTAAAAGAATCTATGGGAAGGGGGGTCTAAACACCGAAAATAATGACGATTTTGTATTTCTGTATTGTTTATTTAAATCTGGTTATTTATCTGTAAAAGTCGAAATTGCGTGATAAAATGTAGAAACATCTGGTCAAGTCTGCGTGTACTATGAAATGCGTTTATCTGGTTGTTTTGCGATAAGGGATGTTATCGGACGTAATTTAATTAACGCACGTGTTTTGGTGCCAATAACAAGAGAGGAGCGCGTTCCTTCGAAACTGGGTTAGCAAGGCTTATTGTAATTGGCGCATTATTTCTAAATATTGGAAAATGTTTTTTGTCTGGTGGAGATGGTGTTTCTTTAAATATTGTAGATAACGAAAAAACGAGGCTGTTGCAGGCTAGGAACGAAGTTAGGATGCTGAGAGGATGCTAGCATTATGCCGAATAGTAGTCGGTAATGCAACCACTGCGCCACCGGCTTCGGTGCCCACTTAAGTTTGTCCCTATGGCTTAAATAGACGTTGTTCCTGTATTACGTGTGACTATGTTCTTTGGTTCCCTCCCGTGTTCGGTGCTATGTGGGTGGCTGTACAGGCGCTTTAATCGGCCTGAAAGCCTATCGTCCTCATGATGGGTGCTCAGGCAGCGTGAACCAGATCGTCGATCCGGGGGTTGTGATCGAGTTCGGTTTCCGATGCATACTCTGATGGATCCGTCCGGTTCCTGTAATTTGACTACCGGAGCTCCCATGGCGATTCACACAGTTCTCCTCCTGGAGTGAACATGTCCGCGTTTGTTTGTAGGAGGAGGTGGAGATCATCTCCGTCGGGGCAAAGGGTTCCCTTTCTCTGATCGTAGAGTCACCACCTCGACTTCCAGCGTGAAGAGGGCAACGGCCTGGCGGGGGAGGGGAGATTGATGGCGACGGTAAATCCTGTAAGGCGACCACAGAGGGCGCAGGAGGGGTGACCGCGAAGATGCGATAGGGCGGAGTTGGGCTCCTTTCGAAGAAACG